ACACACACACACACACACACACACACCCCTAAATAAATGAGATAGAGTACGAAAGTTTTTTTCTTAAATATTTATTTATTTATTATGTATCCAATATTCTGGATGTGTGTATGCCTGCAGGCCAGAAGAGGGCACCAGACTTCATTACAGATGGTTGTGAGCCTCCATGTGGTTGCTGGGAATTGAACTCAGGACCTTTGGAGGAGTAGGCAATGCTCTTAACCACTGAGCCATCTCTCCAGCCCAGAGTACGAAAGTTTTAAGTGGATGAGTAAAGAAGGTGGTATAGCCGCAGTTCTGTGCTGAAGGTGACGGTGAAGAAGTAAGCCAGGCAATCCAGAATCACACACTGAGAAATGTTAGGAAGAAAAGGTGTGCTGACCATACAATGATAGAAGATAGTGGGGGAACGCTAAGGGACACGGCCAGGAAGGTTTCTCTGGGGATGTGACCCACCTGAAGCCTAGAAGTTGTGCTCCAGAGGAAGGGTGAAGAGGGAACCGTGGCGAGCATGGTGCTAGCATGTGTTAAGAACTTCGGTGTAGGGGCTGCCCTCTTCTGGCCTGCAGGCATACACACAGACAGAATATTGTATACATAATAAATAACTAAATATTTTTTTAAAAAAAGAACTTCTGTGTAAATGAATGTGGCTGGAGGGGTGCAGTCTGGTGCTCAGGTGGTTTGTGTTTGTCCTGTTTAGGCACTGAAGTTGTCAGGGGTGGTAGGCCTTAGGGAGGAGCAATGTGAATTCGGGACCAAATCTTCCTCAGACGAGACTAGACAAGCAGGAGTGGGATTTACACAAGGGCAAACCCATGTAACAGGAGACTTGAAGGGTGGCTGTTTCCACACCCAGGCAGAGTGACGGACAGTATGCTGGGGAAGCAGGTGGAGCCCTAGAAACATCCTGAAGATAAAGTCTCTCCATGAGAGACGGTAGCAAGGAAAGGACACCCCAGAACACACCCAGGGAACGGGAAAGGGTAACGGATAAGCTGGAGGTGCAGGACACCATTTGTCCCGAAGAGGGGCCTACTGGCTATAGGAGAAATGTTAGCAGAGCAGGATGCGGGGGTGGGGGCAGGGTTAAGCTTGGGAAGGCCTGAGCTCAGGGCGGCTAGACCACCAAGGGCACGTCTCAGATGGACAGACGGACAACACAGATAATCTGCACATAAGCATGACTTCTCCAAGCTACTTAAGAGAACCCAGCACTCACCCACAGGGCACCCTGGTTTCCCAGAGGCCAGTAGCCCTCTCAGTTCCTCTAGCCAAGGGAGTCAGGGCCAGGTAAGGCAGCCTGCTGTCGGACATGAAGACCATGGCTGTCCGAGGAGGGCTTTGTGGGAAGTGACACCGGAGGCTCACACTACTTCCAGATCCAGCGTGGGGCAAGCCTGGCAGGACCAAAGCAATGCAGCTCCAGAGGAAAAAATCATGTCTGAACAGACCCGCGGGAATGGGCACCACGGAGTAGGCAAGGCGGAGATTGTCGTCTGGTTGTGTGTGTGCACGCTCTTGAACAAAACAAAAACTTAGAGAAAAATCTGAGGTGCTCTTGTGAGTTAATGGGCATAACTGGAGCCATATTGACCCTGAGTTAGTTACAGCTTTCTGCTTCTCGATGTGTACAAGGAGGACAGCAGTGTGCACCAATGCCTGAGACACTCCACCTAGCACTCAGTCCAAGATGAGTCGTCCTAGCGCCAGTGATACTTGTCAGGGTCCTTGGGATTAAGTGAGAAGTGTGCAGAGGTTTAAGAAGTCGTACAGCATCGCAAGTGCACCTGGGCTAGCCCTCTCCCAGAAGGTAAGCTGTCCGTCCTGGTTAGTGCTTGGGTGGGAGGAAGAATTATATGGAATGGAGGGCAAGTCACAGTGTCTGTAAGTGATGAGGGTGAAAACCAGACTTCCCGATGAAGGAGAGAGAATTCCTTCTGAAGGGCAGGCATTTCAAATGGCATCTTGATCTGAAATACCCATTTTTAAAATATCTCAGTGTCCTGGTCATTATTGTAGCTCACAGGGTTTGCAGCTGGGTAAGACTGTTGGTGGTTCCCTCCCCCACACCCCAGCAGCCACAAAACACCTTCCAATACCGAGAGTTAGGCCGCAGAGGGGGGGCTTCCTGGTCAGTCCTAGCTTGTTTTTTTTCATGTCCTGTGACCAAAGTGTGTGGTGTCTTCAGCAATAGGATCTTCTTTAATGTCAAGTTCTGGTGGGCAGCCAATACTAGCGACAATAGCGTGTATTTTGGGGGGATCTCTGGGACACCTTTAACCAACAGCTCAGGGAGGAGTGTCCCTACACCTGGTACTGGGCTTTTCGTTTGGCAACCATGACTTCTGGGAGGAGCACAATCCAATTCAACTCTGACACAACTGCGTCCCCCATTCCTTTTGCCTAACTGTCATTAACCCTCTCCCACCCCTCCCCTTTTTGGTTCTCTGAGACAGGGTTTCTCTGTGTAGCTTTGGAGCCTGTGCTGGAACGCTCTCTGTAGACCAGGCTGGTCTCAAACTAACAGAGATCCACCTGCCTCTGTTTCCCAAGAGCTGGAATTAAAGGCCTGCACCACCACTACCCAGTTGGTCATCACTCTTATGTGAATCTTAGTGTTGAAGCTTCAGATCTGTGTCTTTAACTTGAAGTAGCCGTAGACTACAGAATAGAAAGGGACCGCTGAGGGCGGGGGAGAGGAGAGATCCTGGTGGGTCGTAGTGGGACATAGGCGACAAGAAGGTGAACAGAGACAGTGGGAGGGAGGGAGGTTGGCAGTGGTATTAAAATTCCTCTTATTATACCGGATTACATAAGGCACTTCCCTCTGTGCTTGGCTCACACTGGTTTTGAACAGTTCTATAGAATGTTTACAAATGTTTAACACATGGCAGGCCCGGGTCAGCTGGAATCATCTGTACTAATATTTCTACGTGGGTGGCCCTAACATGAGGAATGATGTCCTTTGGGAAAATTACATATCTGTAGCAACTCTGGAAATCAAAACAAATCAAAAAAACAGCAGGCTGTGTTAATAAAACTCAGTGCTGCCCTCTATTTTCAAAGAGAAACCTTTCCTACTTCAGAGAAC